CCCTGGTTGAAGTTCTCCCACCCCCACCACGTCTCACAGCCCTGCTTTTTTTTATTATTTATTTTTTATCCCTCCTGGCCTGGGGAAAGGGGCTGGGGCACCTCATATTCCTTCTCTTCCGTCCAGTTGATCTCCTCGAAGTCCCCCATCCTGCTGGCCGAGGGCCTCAGGTGGTCGAAGAAGACGGAGAACTCGTCCTGCAGGTGGTCGTGCCCCTTCAGCAGCTGCCACATCTGGGTCTTCAGCTGCAGGAGGGAAATCCAGAGGGAATGAGTCTCGTTCCACATCCTGACACGGCTCTCTGATGGATTCCCAAGGCAGGTGGAGCACCAAAGGCTTGTTAAGCCCCCGAGGTGGATGTCTGTTCTGAGCTCGTTCCACGCCCAGCCATCAAACCAGCCTGGAATGAACCCCTCCAGAATTCCAGGCCGATTCCAGAGGGGGCACCAAGCTGAAAACCTCACCTGCAGGGTTGCCAAGGGGTGAGGTGGGACAGAGGAGACAGGCAGGGCATCAACTGGGCGGCCCCTTGAAGGGGCAGTTCCAGTTCTCCCTCAATCCAAGGCCAGGTTGGATTGGGCCAGTGGAAGTTGTCCCTTCCCAGGGCAGGGGGTGGAAGAGGAGCAGCTTTGAGGTGCCTCCCAACCCAACCCAACCCTTCCTGTGGTTCCATGGATTGAGTTGTGGCCCCCAAATTCCTGCCCAGGAGCAGCACAGGGGGACAGGCTGGAATCACCCTGGAGGGTTTGGTGGGGGGAAAAGGGGACACCTGGTTACCTCTGCAATCTCCTGGGGCAGACAATCAGCACAGCTCTGCAGGACCTTGATGATCTTCTGGTGGTGGGCAGGGTTCTCAGCGAAGCAGATCTCCAGCTGCCTGAGGAACTTGCGGCTCTTCTCGAAGGCCTGTTGCTCCTCAAACTGCCCAAAACCAAACCCAGGCACCCCTCAGGTGCAAGAACACGCTCCCAAACCCCTCAGGTTGGCTTAAACAAGCCCTAAAATTCCCATCCTGGTCTTTTGTTTTCCCCATTTTCATTGGTGCTCCTGGCAAATCCGGGGGGACGTGGAGGAGAGACCACGCTTGGTGTAAATCAAAATTACACCAGCCAGGAAGTTCTGCTTCAACCCCCTGCTCCCAAAACAGGGGCTGGACACCCTCAGAGAGAATGCAAGAGGTGAAACCCTCTGTTTTTGTAAGTGCAGGGCTGACCTGCAGGCCAGGGAAACCACGGTTTGCTTCACCTGCACAAGTTGGGATGGAACTGGGAAAAGGCTCCCCCAGTCACCCCCAGCAGGAGATTTCCAACCAGAACACCCCAGTTCTGATGGAGAAACCAGCAAGCGATTTCCCAGCCCCCCTCGCCCTAGGGAGAACTCCTCATCCTCCCGCTCCCACAGCCATTCAGGACGTTTTAAAATCCCCTCTCCCCCTTCCCTCCCACCTACCAGCCCACACTCCAGGGCCTGCTCCGGCAGGAGGAAGGCAGCAAAATCCGTGAGCAGCTGGGGCCAGTCGTGCAGCAGCTTCTGGAGGGTGGAATAGAGGTCCACAGCCGTCCTCTTGCCCGTGCTGATCTCAAACTCGTAGATGACACGAAGGAAGTCCTCGTATTTCCCTGGGATGTGCTGCAGCGTCTCACGGACCTGGAAAGGACTCAGTGACAGCCAGGAAGGAAACAAAATCATGGGAATACCTTGTGTTGATCTTAAAGATTGAGTGATTTCTCTCTGCCACCTCCCACCAGCCCAGGTTGCTTCCAGCCCGGCCTTGGACACTCCCAGGGATGCAGGGGCAGCTTCTCTGTGCCAGGCTTTCTTCCTGAATTCCTGTGACCTGGTAACCTCTCATCTCCCCCCCACCCAGAATTTACAGGGTGCTCCCAGTTTTTGTAGAGCCCAGCTCTTCCTCCAAGGCACACCTGAGATGCTCCCAGGGAGAAGGGAACCCACCCAGGACCACGGAGCTCAGAGGGGGTCTTGGTGCTGTGGAGCCCCCTGAGCACCCCCCAGCCCTCAAATCCTTCACTCCCCCCCAAAAAAAGCAAGAAAAACTCACAGGGGCAGTTTGGGAAGTGAAGAGCCACACACAAAGGGGTGTGTGAAGAGAAGTAACCCCCATCCCAGCGCTCCCACAGCCAGACCTGGCAGGCTCAGATCTGTGCCAGGGCCACTCCAAGCCCCCCTCACCCTGGTCAGGTAGGCCTGGGCAAAGGCCAGGTCCTTCTGCTCCCTCAGGGGGTCCCTCTCCAGGATGTCCTCGTCGTAGAGCAGCAGCAGCTTGGAGGTGTCTTTGCTGCCACGAGCCCGGCCCCGCTTGTTCCTGGTCCTGTGGGAGCTCCTGCCCTTCCCAGGGGCCTTCAGGTTCTCTCCTGGGAAGGAGCACAGGTTGGTGAGTTGGTGGCACAGGGGTGACACCCCAACAGAAAGGCAGGTTTCAGGCTCAAAAACCACCAGATTCCTGCAGACTCCAGGGCAGGACAATCAAGAGATCCAACGAGAGCACCGGAGCTGGTGCTCGCTCTCCAAACTCTGAGCTAATTATTTACACAGCAGAGTTAAAATCACAGGTCACAATCGCACAGCCAGGAAGGAAAATGGGGCCACTCAGAGGTGCCACATCAAGATTTTCGTGGATTTAGCCTCAGGAATCTGCTGGTTTCATGGGCTGAGGTCCAGCTCCTCCAAGCTCGTCCCCCACTTTGCTGGACCCCGTGAAGGTTTTGTTTTGTTTCATTTCTTTTTCTCCCCCCCCCTTGCTCCCCCATCGCACAGAATTCAGCTCAGCAAAGATTTGGCTGCTTAATATTGCTCTGACAACTGAGACAAAACCCCAAACCTGCCAGTTTCTGAGGCATAAAAGCCACTTTAAAACAGACCAAAGGCCCCCGTGCCAGGAGACTCCTGTGGGCCCTGCTTGGACAGGACTGGGAGTGAGACACACAAATTGCGGTTCCAGCAAACCCCCCAGCCCTCACCTGCTGGAATCCTGTGGGTCTCCACCTGGGGGGAAGCTGCCTTGGCCGAGGTGAAGGCGGATTTAGGCTCCTCTGATGCATCCCCACAGGTTTCATCATCTTTCTGTGAGCTCTCTATGCCTTCCCCTTCCTCCTCCTCCTCTTCCTCGGGCTCAGAGTTCTCCTCCTGGGAATTCTCCTCTTCAGAATCTCCCTCCTGGCTCAAACGTCTCTCTGTTGCAAGCCAGGTGAGTTTTTCCATGGTCTCCTTGGAAAGCAAAAAGAGCATCACAATTGGTTTTATCTTCTGGTTTAATGTCCTTCAGCAGCCCCTTCCCCTGCCTCATGATTCCAACAGCCAACTTCACAGCCCCAAAATTCCATGAAGGAACAGAATTCGAGACCCTCCAGAGCTGCTTGGGTTTGTTTTGTTGGTTTTTGTTTGTTTTTTTTTTTTTAATTGGGAAAATATAAATTTCAGGATCTGCCATTCAGCAGATCAGGCCTTGAGTTAAGAGATGGGATTCCTTAAGGATCTTGGCTCTTAAAGGCCTGCTGGAAAATTAATTGCCACTTGAAGCTGTTCCTGTTAAAAGAGTCCTTGCAACTCCTGGCAGGGTTTAAAGGAACAGTGTGCAAAGAAACACAACACAACAGCTTTTTTATACACCTGAAGGAGTGAGTTTCAAAATCATCTACCACGTACGCTCTTCACAAAAAGTCTGTTTTATCTAAATAGACATTTGGTTACAGAAAGTTTTATCACTTCAAGCAGATTAGGATTCCCCCCACCCCTCTTCTGTCTCCCTTGCAATGCTGGAAGTCCTTTCTGCCTTCCCTGACAGTCTCTTTTGTTTATGTAAATTAGCTTTATCCCAACTGCCCACAGTTTGGGCAGCAACCTTCTTTCAGGCAGTTACAACTCTGCGAAGTCACACTTAACATAGATAAATTCTACTAACATAAAATAGAATAAAAATTCAGTTATCTTGTCTTTTTCTTTGGAGTTTTGCTTTTTTTTTTGTTTTGTTTTGTTTTTTTGTTTTACCTGGAGCTCTGGCACCGACAGGACCGACTCCTCCGAGGCCGACGACATCTCCTCGTCCTCATCCTGGGTGAAATCATCGAAGTCGTCCTCCTCCTCCTCCTCCTGCCCTTCCCTGTCCCCCGCGGCCTCGGGGCCCGCCGGGGTCCCCACGGACTGGCCATCGACACTGGACGAGTCCTCGGGCCTGCCCGGGGGGCTGCTGAACTCGGGCTCGCCCTCGGCCGGGCACGGGGGGTCCCGGGGGGACTCGCCGCTCCCCGGGGGCCCAGAGACCACCATATCCCCCTGGGGAGGGGACTGCAGGGCCCGGCCTTCCTCCTCGCCCTTCCTCTCCTCCTCCTCCTCCTCCTCCTCGGCGCGGTCCCCCTTGGGGTCCACAGCCTCCACGTTCAGCTCCTGGCCCAGGCCCAGCAGGAATTCCTCTTTGGGCTGGGTGGGTGGCACGTCCCTCTTCTGCCCGGCCTTCCCCTCCCCGGGGGCACCGTCGGGCTCCTCGGGGTGGGTTTTGGCCGCTTCGCCCGCCTCGCCCCCGCGAGGCTCCGCGGAACTCCCGTCCCCATCGCCCGCCTCGCCCCGGCGAGGGGAAGACTCTGGGCCACGCTGCTGCTTCTGCTTCTCCTCCTCCTCCTCCTTCTGCTGCTGCTGCTCCTCCTCGGGGCACAGGGACGAGCAGGGAACGAAGAGCTCGGGGGGCTCCGCCTTGGGCTCCCCCGCGGGGTACCCGCCCAGGGGCAGCCGCTCCTCGGCCTCGCCCCCGGCGGGCGGCCCCGAGAGCCCCACGGGGCTCGGCGACACCAGCAGGGACGGGATGGACGAGGTCACCAGGGGCTGGTTCAGGGGACAGGGGAACGGGGCCGGGTTCACCAGCAGGGTGGTGACCGGGATGGCCTGAGGGCCGCGGCCCACGGCGGCACCGAGGGGCTGGATCACGTTGCCGATGTTGACCACCTTCACCGTGGCGGCGGGGACGGTCAGGATGACGGGGGACGGCTGGATCAGGGCCGAGGCTTCCATCAGCGGGGCGGCTTTGCTCCCTTTCTTCCTCTGGCAGCCCTTGCGGACGCAAGGCCGGCGGGATTTCGGCCCGGCCAGCGCCGGCAGCATCAGCTTGGGCTGGAAGGCGGCCGGGTCTGGGGACACCAGAGCTGGTGGCACCGCGGCTGAGAAGGCCGGTCTGGGGTCTGGGGGCGCAGCGGGGAGAACCTTCTGGAATTCCAAGCCGTCCCCACCTCCCAGCACCGCCGGCACGCCCAGGGGCTGCACCGCCGGCACCGCCGGCATCACCGGCACCGGCCGAGGAACCTGGAGCAGGACTTTGCTGGGAGGAGCCTCGGCCTGGGGACACTTCCCGGGTTTCTGGGTGTTGGTGGCACTGGAGCCGGAGCCGGGCTGCACGCCGGGGTTGGGGCGGATCAGGACGGGCTTCAGCGCCGAGGATCTCTGCCTCCTCCACGCCCGCCGGGAGAACCGGTTGGCCAAGGGCTTCAGGGTAAGAACGAGCCCCTTGGGCATGAGCAGAGGGTATTTTTCATCCTGGTCCGTGTCTGGAGCTTCTTTTGCTGCCCCCAGAAGGGCAGACTCTGCAGCTGGTGATGCTGGCATCTCCTTGGCATCTCCTGCCAGCTGCTTCAGCTCCCCCTGGATGGAGGGCAAGCTTGCCTGAGGGAGCAAGAATTCATCAGGGTTTGCTATTTACGGGCTGTTCCCATGTTCCCACCTTCCCACGGCACCACAGGAGGGGACAGAGAGCAACTTCCTCCCACAGGTGGCTTTTTGTTGACTTTATGCTGCTCTGTATTGCTTAATATTAGTTTAAATTCGTGATCTCTGAGACCCACGAGGAAAAACCCACGAGGAAACCCAAGGGAACCCAAGGAAAAGCCACAAGAAACCCAAGGAAAAGCCACAAGAAACCCAAGGAAAACCCACAAGAAACCCAAGGAAAACAACTAAGGAAATCCAAGGAAACCCAAGGAAAACCCAGGAAAACCAGGAAAAACCCACGAGGAATCCAAGGAAAACCCAGGAGAACCCCCAAGACATCAACCAAGCAAAGCCACAGAACCCAAAGGGGCTCAGGAGGCACCTTGAGCCAGAAGGGCAGCCGATGCTCCTCCCTCTCCACGGGCGCTTTCCACTCGTGGGGTTGGATTTCCTCACAGCACTTCACCAGCACAGGCAGCTGCTTTGTCTTCTTGTAGTACTGTGAGGAGAGACAGGAGGGAATTCCAGGCAATCCTGCTGGAATTGGGGTTTAATTTCCCACGTTCCCGTGGGTAGAACCTCGTTAAGGCAGCGATGAGAGCGACTTCACTGCACAGAACCTCCTCCTCCTCCCTCCCCACCCTGGACTTCTGCTACTCAAAAGTCTCTATTTATGATTTATTTATTTTTTTTAAACCAGGATTACTGAGGGAACAGGTTGCTCTCTCTTAAAGAGCCAAAACAAAGCACTTGCAAAAGTCCAGGGGATAACGCCCTGTGGAGCAAACCCTCATTTTTAACAAGGGGGTGACAATTAATCAGCCAAAAAAACCAAAAAAGGGACAACCAGCACAGCCCTCCTGGAGTTAAGAAAGCCCAGGCCAGGCTGGCAGTGCCCCTCTTACCCTGACGATGTTGTCGGGGGCCCGGTTCATGTTGAGGTTCTTGATCCTCACCGTGAGCTGATGGGCGGTTTTGGTGGGCAGGAGGTACTTGCTGATCAGGGGCTTGGGAAACTCCGTGCCCTCGAAGTGCTTCAGCCCCAGAGCCAACAAACTGGGGAAGGGGGGAAAGGGAAAAAGAGGTGAGGAGGGAGGCAAAGAAGCCTTCCAGCCCCCCCAGAAACGCTCCTTCCACCTACTTGTCCTCTGCCTTGGTGAAGACGATCTTGTCCCGGGGAGGGTTGGCCCTCAGGGAACAGATTGGCAGCAGCTCCGGGTACATGAAGACCCTCCTGGTCGCAAAAATCCAGGCCAGTTGCTTTGGCAAACAGGAAAATTCACTGGCTGGCGGAGGGGAGGGGGAAGAATTAGCAGGTAATGGATGTGAAGAAACGTTTCTTGAAAACACCGTTCCTTTTACTCCCTTCACTGCAAAAAGAGACTTCCTTTCTGTTTGTTTGTTTTTAGTTTTCCCTTCTAAGTTCACACCAGCAAAAGGCAAAATTCCTTTTCCTTCCCATCTTTCCTTTTGCTTTAATGTAATGAGAAAGCTCTTGGGAGTATTTCAAGTGAGTCCCCTCTCTAAAGCAGCAGCAAAATCCCAAACCAAGTGTTTGGAAACAGTCTGGAAGCTTTTTCTTTTTCCCCCCCCCCAAGGAAAGGAGTTATCTCCCTGGTGTGTGCTGACCAACACCTTTGCAACAATTAATTCCAGTTTCACTGTCCCCCTGATGGGCTCAAGAACATCATTTGAGGGACAACGAACGGCTGGATTGTGACGTGAAATAAAACTCAGCGGGTTGTTCGACGTGCAAAGATCAGGAAGCGAAAAAAAAAAAAAAGGAGCCAAGGGGGTGGTTTTATCTAAAAATACCTCACCAAAAAAAAAAAAAAATTAATTAATTAATTAATTCTTAGGTGGGATCACCCCCAAGGCCAGGCTGGGAATTTTCTGCCGCAGATGAAATGATCTCCCTGTAAACCCTCCCCTCCCCTACCATTGCTCTTCTTGACAGCCTTCCTGGGGCTGCAGTCCACGGGCACCCGGGCATGGAAGTCCTCCACGAGCCTCAGGGCTCCCTGCAGGTTGCAGGGCTGGAACATGGTCTGGAATTTGGGCTGGAGGGGCAGGCGGAGCAGGGTGGAGCTGCGGGCGAAGTTCCCCAGCTCGTTCTGCAGAGATAAAAAAAATAAAATAAATAAAAAAAACCAGCATTAAAAGCCTTATTTTGAGGCAGGAACAGAGGATTTACAGAGGGGGAGGTGAGCACCTGGCACAGGTTGCTCCGTGATGTCCCCAACCAGCTTAATTAAATTAATTAAATAAATGAATCTCCCTAAATGTCTCTCCGGTGATCGTTCCCAGTGAGCTACCAGAACCCCTGCAGCTCTGATTTCGGACCAATCCTCACCAGAAACATCCTGGTTGTGCCGGCCTCGGAGCTCAGGGCGGGGTTGCAGCTCGCCAGGAGATGGATTTGGGTCAGAAGCTGAACGTGCTGGAAGAACAAAACGAAATAAAAATCGAAATCGCACAAAGTGGTTTGTTGTTTGTTTGGGTTTTTTTTTGGTTTTTTTTTTCAGCGTCTCAAAATACCAAAACATTTGAAAAGCACCCCAAAAAAAAAAAAAAAAAAAAAATCCCTGTCTGCAAAACAACTTTCAAGCAACAGAAAACTTGAGGGGGAAGTTTTAACACCCGCTGGCTGGAAGTTCATCCCCCAGATTCGGAACACACAGAATACACAGAATTACCTGTGTGATCTCAGGGCAGTCCCCCAGCTCTTGTGCCAAAATCTCACCACCAAAACAACCCACACAGAGAGTTTTTGGCTGGTTTTGTTTTTGTTTTTTTTTTTTATAAATACAAAACTATTTCTTCAGCAACTCGAGCTCTTGAGAACTGCCCATTTCTGAATTTCTACACAGAAAGTGGAGAAATTCCAGAAAGCTCCAGGTGTTGGGTTTTTTTTTGTGTTGGTGGGGGGAAAAAACAATCTAAATTAGATCAAGATTAATATTCCCAGACAGTAATAAAGAAGGTGATGAAAGCAGAGGATTTGGACACATCAGGCTCAGGATTCGAAGGTGGTCAAGGCCACGTCACATGGGAAGAAAGAAAGAAGCCCCAATTCCCACATTCAGAGCCAACTGTCTTGGAATCACGGCTGTGAACACCCCCAACAACACCCAGGTGCAGCTTTCCCAAGGAATTCCCCTCAGGAAGCAAAGCCTTGGCATCCAGAGCCCCCCCCAGCACGGATTTATCCCACCCCACCTCCTCACCTGCTGCATCTGCTGCTGGAGCCTCTTCCTCTGGGCACTGTCCAGCACGAGGCTCTGCAGGGGCTTCTCGTTTGGGGGTTTGGATTTTTCAGCCTCCTGGGGGGGTTTGAGGGAGGATTTTTTCATCCTCAGCTGCTCCAGCTGCTCCTTCACCGTCCGGTGCTGCTCGTTCAGCAGGTTGGCCAGGGGTTCCTCAAACCTGGCAGAGCAAAATGGGACGATCCAGGATTTTAAAAAAACCCTCCTCAGTAATCCAGGGTATTTTGCTCTGCCTGGGAGGAGCAGTTCAGGTATCACCTGTGCTCCTCAGGTACCACCCCCCCCCCAAACTTGAAAAATACCCAATAATTTACATCTAAGTCTTCTGCCCCACTCGCTGCTGGAGCTGCGGGAGGAGCTCTGGGTATTTTGGGTGGCATTTTGTCATCTGGAGGGGCTCCAGAAAAACCTCAGAATGCACAAAAGCTGCTACTTTATTAAAAAAAAAAATTAATTAACAAATAATAACAAATAACAAACTTCTTTCTACAAGAAGTTGCAGAAAAGGGGACGCACTTGCCACCAGCCTTTCAAAAACAGTTTCAGCCACCCCCTGCTTTATTTATGACTTCATTTTTATTTATTTCATTTCAGCCACACCAGTTAATATCCTGATTCCTGCTGCTTAGCAGCTTCCCTTCTGTAACAGGCCTGAAGCCACCCGTGAGTCGAGTTGTTCCACTGGTGCAGTGTCATTAAAAAAAAAACAACAACAAACCCAGCAAAAAAAAA